CAAACTTTGCCACTTTCATGAACATGCAGGTCTCATATAGCTAATGGTAGGGTCCTGGGGAAGTGTTGTCGAACAGAGAAACCTAGGGATGTGGGTACATAGTTCCTTGAAAGTAGTGTCACAGACACTATGGTGAAGGGGGCATTCGGCACGCTTGCCTTCATGGATCAGAGCTTTGGTACAGCAATTGGGATGTCATGTTACATCTGTACAAGACATCAGTAAGGCCATATTTGGAGTACTGCGTACAATTCTGGTCGCCCTCCTATTATTCAACTGGAAAGGGCACAAAAATAAAAATTTACAAGGCTGTTACTAAGACTGGAAGGTTTGAGTTATAAGGAGAACTGGATAGGCTGGGACTCTTTTCCCTGGAGCATAGGAGGCTGAGGCGTGGCCTTATAGAGGCTTATAAAATGATTAGGGACATAGACAAGGTTAATAGCCAAGATCTTTTCCCCAGGGTAGGAGAGTCCAAAACTAGTCGGCATAGGTTGAAGGTGTGAGGGGAAAGATTTAAAAGGGTCCTGAGGGACAACTTTTTCACACAGATGGTGGTGCCTATATGGAATGAGCTGCCAGAAGAAGTGGTAGAGGCAAGTACAATTCAACATTTAAAAGGCATTTGGACAGGTACATGGATAGGAAAGGTTTAGAGGGATATGGGCCAAGTGCAGGCAAATGGGATGACTACAGTTTAGGAAACCACATCAGCATGGATGAGTTGAGTCGAAGGGCCTGCTTCCATGTTCTATGACTCTAATCACCTGGCCTTTAAAAGATTCCCGCATGACAGATATGGATTTACCCATAAACAGTCACACCTGCTGCTGCATCGACATTCCCCAGTTCCTCCCTAATGTTGTCATAGTTAGCCTTCCCCAATTTAATACTTTCATCTAAGTACTACTCTTACCCTTATCCGTAAGTAACTTAGAGCTTACAGAATTATGGTTCACTATTCGCAAAATACTCCCCTAGTGAAACTTGGATCGCTGGCCAGGCTCATTCTCCAGTACAAGGTGCAGTATGGCCCCTTCCCTAGTTAGACTATATACGTATTGCTTCAAGTAACCTTCCTTGACGTACTTATCAAATTCCTTCTCCCCCAAGCCCCAGTACTAAGGGAGTCTCAGTCAATATAGGGGAAGTTAAAATCACCCATCACAACAACCCTGTTGTTTTCACATTTTTCCATAATCCGTCCACCCACCTGTTCCTCTATCTTACGCTAGCTATAAGGGTGGTTCCGACCAGGGATTGCGATCTTACCAAATTGGCCATAGTAATTACCTGTCAGGAAGACTCAAAATAGAAACCAGAGAGAGTTTTTTGGCAGGTTCAACACACTGCTTGCTTCCTCTTTGTCCACAGAAAAACTGCAGAGCACGGCACAATTCACCAGTACTAGCCCCATTTACCCTGGCACTGCACTTTCAGGGAGTCACTGCCACTATCCTGGCATTCTCCAATATATTGGCATGGCGCCTGCAAGGGCAGACTGGTTTGGCAGGAGACACCAGCAAACAACATTGTATGGTTGGGAATGGAGCCCATTACGTGGCGTGGACCAGGCTGCCTACCAGGACTGCTCCCTTGCTTTCTCAGTGCAAATCATCTGATGCCTTCTGGCATGCCTGCAGCATGCATGTCTAGCCTTACCCTGCCATGCCTCACATTGTGCAACATTGCCATTTGTCAGTCAGGCAGGTGGCTGTGCTGTGCTACAGTCCTCAGTCAAGTGCATGTGCATCTTGCCTTGTGTCAGTGTGGCATGATGGTCTAGCACTTGTACTATGTGGCTTTAGCATTTGTGCCAAACACATAACATCTGCAGCAAGCAGTGTAACATGTCTAGAAATCTTAGGGGAGCAAAGTGAAGACCATGGGGGTACTAGATCAGTCAGGTGGCGCAGCACAGTTAGTCAAGAACAGCCTCTTATACTACTCCCAGACTTTGGCCATGGTCAGGCACCCGGTCAGGGTGACATTGCAGAGGAAGACTGTGCCTTTGTCCTCCAGAGTAAGGGTCATGTTCATGCCTTTGTCTCCATAGGTAATAATTTGGGAGTGTGGGGAGGACGTCGCAGTTGGAGATGTGCCCACAAGTCTAGACAAGTGACGGTGAGTACTTGCAGGCCAGGTTGCTTGAATGTGTAGGCCACAGTTTGTCCTGTTAACTTTGACCGTGTAAATTATGGGAAAATGTTGGAAATTGGGGTCCCCTTTAAAATTGTGTAAAATTTGAAGTACATTTGAAGTAAGTAATGTAAGGGAATGCATGGCGAAAATGAATTGAAGAACAGGTCTCAGACATCTAATGTACTTCACAAAATGGTTATTGTGACCTGAAGAGCAAGAAACATATTTTAAATGATAAGGTATTGACACAAAGTCCATAGAGAAACTGACTTTAAAATAATCAAAGTGGCATTGGTGAGACTGGGTATAAATTAAAATGAAATGAATTGTGGGTACAGGTGAAGGGAAAGCTGTTGAATTTTTTTAAGTTCATGCATAATTGGTTGCTTTAATTGAATGCACTGTAATCAGCTAAGGATGAGCCAAAGTCCTCAAAGGATGTGGGAGAAATTTAAAAACTTGATATAAGGGAAAATGAAAGCAGAAATCAGGGAAACCAAAAAGAGTGAGATATTTGCCCCATTTGGAAGCCCACCTTCTGCTGGCAACCTACTGAGACAACTGTAATAAGAAATTCCATGCACATGTCACAGCATTGAGAAATAAATAGTTCGGTTAAAGATAATTGTGAGAGGTCATTAAAGATATTATCTTCTCAAAGGGAGGATTGTTTGAAATTGGGGTGCCCCATAAAATAGTGTGCTTTTAGTATTCCATATTCAGTAGTTCTGTGCAGTTTGAGACCTCATTTAACTATGTTACAGTAGTAACTAGCCTTCCACAAAAATTATCAGGAGCCACGACACCCTACTATTAGTGCAATGTTTTTGAAAATAAAATAGTTTTATTCTTCAAAGAAATATAAAAAACCTTCAAATGACATGGGCAATGGGATAATGTCATCCAATATCATGAACAGCTGTCCAATGGACATTGGCCAAAAAGATTCAGACAAATGATTGACACAGCAATAAACTACCTGGCTCTAGAAGTAGATTATATCAACAAGTACTCTGGGAAAGAGGGTAGTCTTCAGAGAGAAAACAGAGAGATCTCTTCAGGCAGTTCTTGTAGGCAACTGTCCTTATTGGGCAGTTCTTATTGGGCAGTCTTCAGAGAACAAAACTGGCTGTCCAATAGAAGACAGAGGGTGGTAGCAGATGGCAAGTCTTCAGCCTGGAGCTCAGTGACCAGTAGTATGCCGCAGGGATCTGTTCTGGGACCTCTGCTCTTTGTGATCTTTATAAATGACTTGGATGAGGAAGTGGAAGGGTGGGTTAGTTTGCCAATGACACGAAGGTTGGTGGAGTTGTGAACAGCATGGAGGGCTGTTGTAGGTTGCAATGGGACATTGACAGGATGCAGAGCTGGGCAAAGAAGTGGCAGATGGAATTCAACCCAGACAAGTGTGAAGTGATTCATTTTAGAAGGTCGAATTTGAATGCAGAATACAGGGTTAATGGCAGGATTCTTGGCAGTGTGGAGGAACAGACGGACCTTGGGGTCCACGTCCATAGATCCCTCAAAGTTGCGACCCAAATTGATAGGGATGTAAAGAAGGCGTATGGTGTGTTGGCTTTCATTGGCAGGGGAATTGAGTTTAAGAGCCGTGAGGTTATGCTGCAGCTCTATAAAACTCTGCTTAGACCACACTTGGAATATTGTTTTCAGTTCTGGTCACCTCATTACAGGAAAGATGTGGAAGCTTTAGAGAAGGTGCAGAGGAGATTTACCAGGATGCTGCCTGGACTGGAGGGCAGGTCTTATGAGGAAAGGTTGAGGGAGCTGGGGCTTTTCTCATTGGAGCGAAGAAGGATGAGAGGTGACTTGATAGAGGTTTACAAGATGATGACAGGCATAGATAGAGTGGATAATCTGAGACTTTATCCCAGGGCCGAAATGACTATTACAAGGGGGCATAATTTTAAGGTGATTGGAGGACGGCATAGGGGAGATGTCAGAAGTAGGTTCTTCACACAGAGAGTGGTGGGAGTGTGGAATGCGCTGCCGGCAGTGGTAGTAGACTCATACTTTAGAGACTTTTAAATGACTCTTGGATAGGCACATGGAGGATGGTAAAATGTAGGGTATGCAGGGTAGATTGACCTTAGTAGGATAATAGGTCGGCACAACATCATGGCCCAAAGGGCCTGTACTGTGCTGTATTGTTCTATGTTCTATGTTCTCTTGGGACAAAATCCCATTTACTCAGTTATCTTTGTACTGATTCCCTGCACATTTACACAATAGGAGCAGAACACATCATAGATTTGTAGCATTGCAGCATTTTCCCTCCCTTTGTATATGGTTCTCCATGAAAGTGTGCAAGACAAGAATTCACTTTATGTTTAAAAATTACATTGATCAGCTTAGTTAAAACAAATTAGACTTTCACCAAAGAAGTTGAGATTACACATAAATACATCTATTGATGTTTTTTTCATACCTTATATGTCAGCCAAAATAAACAAGTTACTACTTTTTCATTTACTTTTCTATGCTTGACTTTTGGTAAGTATGCTAAAAAAAGTTGTTAACTTGCGCCCTAATTCTTACAACCAGGAAATTTAGTTTGCTAGCATGAGGTATTCATATTGAGGATGAGAGAATAACACATGTATGAATGTCATGATGAATAGATTTTCCTAATTTTCGTGCAGAAAACTTTGTCTATTCCCCATTTAAGTAGGTGCTTCACACTTGATATCATTATCTGACTGGTTTATGAATGTGACTTATTAGATGCTTTACCAACAACAATCAAACAAATGCTGTCATGGCCCAGTAACTGGCTTTTTCTTGGACTGTGGTCAAGCTCACCCAACAGGAATGAAATGGGTTATTACCATTCAATTTACCTTATTCTTATCTTGCACAACCAGAACTTTACCAGTGGCTTCATCAAACACAGCACCTGCAGGATGGACAAGAAACAAAGCTTGAATATGTGCCCAACCTGAAGTACAGATATGGAGATCACAGAAATTAGCATGAAACAAATTGTCTGCAAAATATAATTACAGAAAGTAAAACCTGAGTGTCCTTTTTATAAGCTAACATCTTCAAATGTTTGAGTTTATTCTGAGGCTGCTAGGTTGTGGAAGTAAAAGGTGTGGAAGCAAATGAGTAGATAGCCCAGGTTTCCCTTTCTGCCTTGTGTTGGGGTCCTGCCAAGGCAGGGACTTCAATCAGCCACTGAACTGGCCATACTTCTGGTCTCTGAGATTTTGTTTTACAAGCTCTGTAGCCTCTGCTAGGGAGTTGAAATATTTTTGGGGTGGACTTTTTTTCTGTAACAAGCCTCAGAACCTTCTCAAAGCAGGTGAATCAAGCAGCCAGTGACCTGTCTTTTTTAATGCTACACTCAACAGCCCTTATCTAAACCCTTCCTTTAAGTGATCTCCCAAATAAAGGTAAGGAACACTTAATAATTCACAGTATAAGTTGAACAAAGGCAGTGCTGTAACCATCAGAATCCATTATAAAATGAAAGAAAAACAAAGAACTGTGAATACAGGAGATCTGAAACAAAGACAGACAACAAGTATGGCAGTATCTGTGGACAGAGAAACAAAGTTAACATTTCAAGTCCAGTGACACATTGTCAGAGCGTATGGTGTGATTACAAAAAAAGTTTTACTTCTTGTATGTTATCTCTCCTTCGCTCACATATTGTTGGTCCATGTTTGTTTTTCTCAAATAAAAAATACCTTTGCATACTCTCCATTTAAGTGCATCGCAGACTTCAGTTAACTGACAAGTATACAAATGGTGACTTTCAGATGGTTACTTTGTAAAACTAGATACCGAGCAATGTGAATACACTCTGATGAAAGAAAGAAACTGATGCCACTGGACACAATGAGGTATCAAATCTGTGGTACTTATAGTACCACAGAGAATATCAAAGTATTTTTTTTAAATGTGATGAATATTTTCACCTCTATCTCCTTTTCAAGCAAGGTCACTCTCTATTCACTTTCATCTCTCTCTAATTCTATCAACTACTGTAAATCCATTTCCTCTGGTTATTGATCTTTCTGCTAAGGACTTGGGCCCTTCATATACCCTGTACCAATGCCCCTCATAATGTATTACTCCTCAATTAAATTTCCAATCAATTGCTTCTATTGTAGATAAAACAATCCCAAACTGTTCAATTTTTCCCCAGAGCTAAACTTTACAAGTCATGGCAATAGCCTCACAAATCTCCTCTTACCTTCTCCAGTACAATCACAGCATTTCTGTAATGGGGTGACTGGAGTCATAGTTATGGCCTAATAAGTGTGTTTTACAGTTCCAGCACAGCTCCACTGGATTAATATTTTATACCTCATCCATTAACGGAAATAACTTCCTCAGCTATTTTAACTATTTTATGACTTGCTACCTTCAGGAGTCTGTGGATAAGCAGTCTAAGATCCCTCTACTTTACACTTCCCAGTGTCCTATTTATTGTGCATTCTCTTGCCTCATTTTCTCTCCCCAAATGCATTATCTCACATTTCTCTGGATTGAGTTCAATTTTCCATTTTTTCATTCACCTGACCAGTCCATTAATAACGTCTTGCAATCTCATTTTCTTCCTCACTTTATCAAAAGCCAATTTTTACATCATCCAGAAAACTTCCTCATGATGTTACCTACATTTAAATATAAACCATTGATATATACCTTGCAAGGGACCTATTACTTATCCATGTGGCCTCCATGAAAACAGCCTTTTAGTCACAAAAATACCTGTCAACCATTACCCTTTACTTTTTGCCACTCAGGCAATTTTGTATCCAATTTGGCATTTGGGTTAACTAGGGTGAGCTTGACTATTCAATCAAAATCTTGTCAAAATTGCTAAAATTCATTTTGAACCAGATCTATTGTATGACCCTCATTGATCTCCTCAAAATTCAATCAGGTCATCAGACATACCTTCCTTTTTAAAAAAATGACCCTGCCTTCTCTGGTTATTTTCTTGCTATTCATGTATTTATGCAACAAGCTTGGATCCTCCATAATTTTACTTGTCAGCATGTTTTTTGCAGGCATTTTTTGCTCCTCATTTTCTTCTTTTTTAGTTGCATTTTCTATAATCCTAGAGGAATTCTGCAGTATTGAGCTCTTGGTGTCTGCAGGTTCTTCTTGTTTCTTATTCTAGCCTAATGTTCCTTAATATTCAAGGGACACTAGATTTTTCTTTGTGGGAACATATTTGTTCTGCACCCTCATTATTTCTTCCTTGAATGCCTTCTGCTACTTTGTTATGAATTTAGTTTAAATTTGCTGTTTCCAATCAACCTTTGCAAATGTTAGCCTTTGAAAATTGGTCTTTCTCCAAATTCATAACAAATTACAAATGTTCCCTTTGGAAATGTTGTACTACTGAAAGTTATAACACGCTGCTTGAAAGACCAGCTCTGCAGTGAATCATACATATTTCTAGAATGCATTATACCATAAAACTTGCAACTTTGGATTAAAAACCAAGCCAGAAGTATTCCTGAGAAAAGGTGAGTAGATTGACTGTAGAAGGAGCCAGTCTCTGAAACATTAAAAAAATTATGATTGCTTGAATAAATATAAAGTTTATTTTAATAAAACAGTTACTTACACACACATATATATCATTTTTATTCACATAATGGTTCACAGTTTAACTTCAGGTCCAAATGGAAAAACTGAATTCATGCAGAGCAAAATGCAGTTGACTCTAAACTGCCTTCTTGGCAATTAGGGGATGGGCAATAAAATCTGGCCTAGCCAGTGATGCCCTCATCCCATTAATAAATTTTAAAAATCATGGAACACTGAATTTTAATTAAATTCATCAGTGCATGGTAGCGTGGTCTAATAAGATTCATGTGAATCAAGATGATGTAACTAATCTCATGACTCTGACATCAGTGAGACAGAGAGAGTCTAGAATGAACGTGTGAAGAGACAGGTCTTAGACACAATACTAGACAACTGTATTTGATAACCTACTATGCACAGGTGTAAACAAAGGAGTCTTGCAGCACATAAGGAGTTGAAGAGCCTTAGTGATAAGAAGTAAGCCACCTCAGAGGCAGGGTATGTGCACACATCACATCTCAAGATAATCCAGACGGATATCTCATTGTGCAGGTATCAGTTTTGATTTAACGGTCAAAATAAAGCAGGTAGTGCATTCACCGACATGACAGAAACACTGGGGTTGAGATTGAAAGCTTTCAAAAGCAATTAGTTTAGAAAATCATTAAGGCTAATTGGCTGATTTAGTTTTATTCATGTTCTGTAAATTTAACCTTACATTTACACCAAAGGAATAGGTATCCCCAAGAAAACATTTCTCAGGGTTTGCAAAGGGTGTAGAAAATCTAGGAGAAGCAGTTTATTAAGAATCTTTTTTTGTGTTTCTTAAGTCATTAATGATACTTTCATTGGTACATTTTCCATTGAGAAAAAGTTCAAAGTATTATCTGAAACATTATATTTCTCAGTAACATAATTTGTTCAGCTTTTGTATTATTTTATTGGTAGTTTTTTTAATTTGTTGCTTTCAAATACTATTGGTACACCTGATAGTCTGTAGAACATTTGGATTTGTAGATATTTTATGGACATGAAATTTGAATTAATGAAAAAAAGACTTACATTTATTTTGCACTCTTATGGCCTCAGGATATTCCAAAGCACTGTATCGCCAATAAAGTACTTTCAATGTATATGCATTGTCGTAATGTAAGAAATTAAGCAACCAATTTCCACAAGCAAATTCCCACAAACATCAAAGATTTACTTTGTTCTACATCATATAATTAATTGATAAATATTGGTGAAGACATCATGGAGAACTCCCCCGTTCTTCTTCAAAATTATCCAATGCAATCTTTCACATTTAGCAGAGAGGACAGATTCTGGGTTAACATCTCAAAAGTCACCACCTCCAACAGTAGATCACCTCCTCAGTGACACACTGAAATGTCAGCCCCAGTTGTAGACCCAAAGCTCTTGATTGAGATGTGAACATATGGACGTGGAGCAGGAGTAGATCTCTCAGTTCCTTGTGCCTGCTCAGCCATTCAGTAAGATCATGGCTGATTTAATTGTAACCTCAAATCCACATTCTTGCCTATCCTTGGTAACCCCTGATAATCACGAATGCATGAATTTCCTGACTCAGTGGCAAAACTGCTAATACTCAGCCACAACAGACACATATTGAGAAAAAGTAATGCTTAAACCACAGTTTCAAAGTGTTTCAAAAGTACAAACATACCAATGAAGAGCAGGAGGAGGCCACTCAGCCCCCTGAATCTGCTCATCCAATCAGTAAGATCATAGCTGATCTGATTACCCACATTCCTGCCTTCTCCTTCAATAACCTAGAACCCTTTGCACATCAAGAATCTATCTTCAGCTTCAAAATATTCAAACTCTGCTTCCACCGCCTTTTGAGGAAGACAGTTCCAAAATCACACAATCCTCTCCTTGAGGAAAAAAATTCATGTTTTTAATGGGTGATCCCTTATTTATGACTCCTAGATCCAGATTCTCTCACAAGAGTAAACATCCATCCATATCCACCCTGTAAAAATTCTTCAGGATCTTGTACGTTTCAAGAAAGCCACCTCATACTCTTCTAGACTCCAGCAGATACAAGGCTAGCCTGTCCAAACTTTCTTCATAAACCAAAGCACCCATTGCACGTTTTGGTCCAGTAAAGTCAGGCAGTTAAGTTCTGAAGAAGAGTCAGAATGGATGTGAAGCATTTAACTCTGTTTCCACCCTCAGCTGACTATCTGTGTGGAGTTTGCACATTGTCTGCGTGGGTTTCCTCCCATAGTCCAAAGATGTGCAGGTTAGGTGGAGTGGCCATGTTAAATTGCCCATAGTGTCCATGGATGTGCAGGCTAGGAGGCTTAGCCATGGGAA